ACTTCTGGTATAGATACAATACAGCAAAAGGAAATGCGCAGGCACCCTCTCCCATTGAGGACAGCCCCTTTTGCTCGAAGGGAAGTCCTGGGAAGTCATGAAGTCACAGGGTTGTCAGGAACAACCTGGTGGTGCATAACAATAGGACCACACTTATTTATGCATTTTACTTGATTTCCAGGTTTATTTTTCTCAGTCAGATTCATAGTCATGATTCTGAAGTGCTTCTTAAAAAAAATGTTAATTTAAGATTGAGAGCACCAAAGGACGTCAAAGGCCAGGACAGAAACTTTACATATAAAAGGGTTAAAGAGTCCAAAAACTCAGCTCCCCTCTAAACTCAGAAGAAAACCATCTTTCCGCTTGTTAGAGCAGAGAATGACGCCATCAGTACATCTGTGTCATGTGCGAAGCAGAATACAAGACGCCAGCCAAAGGAAAGAACCGTGACAGGTTGGGTTTCAGTAAATGTAGTATTGCTGGGAACCACCCCCTGGCAGCCGACAAGTGTGGTAGCAGAAAACCACCAGAGTGCCAGGAAATCAAGACTTCCCTCCGCTAAAGTCATTCTCAGAAGGCCAGAGAATTTCAGTCTTCTTGTATTTTACTTAGGCTCCCCTTGAAAAATACTACTGGAATCATTTGTATCACAAGAAACGATTGCACAAGCCAATGATACTTGGCTTTAAAGGATGATGCTGCAAGCCAGGAAGAACAAGAAGATTTGGAGGTGGGGGGGAGAAACACCACACAGTCTGGCCTTGGCTCCAGAAACTGAGAGGAGTTTAATGTGCCTTGCTTTTTTACTTAATGGAGAACCTTTGCTTTTAAGATGTTGCTACCTTTTTAAAAGAAGCTGAATAAAAAAAGAAGTGTGGCAAAGAGGGACAAGGCAGATTTCGGAGCACATGTATTCGATGTTGCCGTAACTGTGGAAGCCTCTTTTAGTCTCCTGATAGATAAACTTGAATATCCTATAATTTCTCCGGACTGCGGTCTCACACATGCCCAGTATGTAAACAACTAAGGTTGATGAGAGAATAAAATTCTGTTCTAAATGTGTGGAATCCCTACACAACAATGGGGTGTGTGTTAGCCCTACAGCTCTCTTTCATTGGAAGTGGTGTAACAGAGCCAGGATTCACACCGTTGAAGGACTTTCTGAACTGAGGCACCACCACCATCTACCACCACCATTCAGGATTCCCTCTTCTCTCTGAGCATATCAGCACTCCTCAGAGTAGGGGGAGGAGAGGCACTGATTTTTGTTAAGAGGAAGATTTTGTGGTCAGAAAAAAAAATGAAGAGATGAATGTGGTGCCTGTTCACAAGAAAGAGAAAGTTTATGTATTGTATATACACTTCCCAGCATGATTTGTCTTTTCCACAGAATCCTGATTTCTCATGATGTGCCCAAAGTATGACAGCCTCAGCCTCAATATTTTTGCTTCTGGAAATAGTTCAAAGTTGATTTGATTTTCGACCCACTTCTTTGTCTTTCTGGCAGTCCAGGGTTATCTGCAAAGCTCTTCTCCAGCACCACATTTCAAATGAAACCATTTTTTTTCCTGTCAGCTGTTTTAACTGTCCAGATTTCACACCCTTTCAAGGTAACAGGAAATATAAGAATGTGGTTGATTTTGGTCTTGGTCTTCAGTGACACCTCTTTACACCTGATGGTCTTTTCTAATTCCTTCATTGCTTTCAGTCTTCTGATTTCTAGATTGCAGTCTCCATTGGGATTGATGACTGAACCAAGGTATACAAAATCTCTAGCTATTTCAAATTCTTGACTGTCAATGCTAAAGTTGCGTAGTTCTTCTATAGTCATGATTTTTGTCTTCTTAATGTTCAACTGCAGTCCTGCTCTGGCATGTTCTTCTTCCAGTTTCATGAAAAGTACAGGTCACTGTTGCTTTCAGCAGGTATGATGGTGTCCTTTGCATATTTCAAACTATCTGTTCAATCTGTATGCAGAACATATTATATGGAAAGCCAGACTAGATTCAGAGGGAGGAGTGAAAATTGGTGGCAGAAAGGTCAATAATTTAAGACATGTAAAGGTAAAGGTTCCCTTTGACATTTAGTCCAATCATGTCCAACTCTAGGGGGTGGTGCTCATCCCCGTCTCCAAGCCATAGAGCCAGCATTTTGTCCATAGACGGTTTCTGTAGTCATGTGGCCAGTGTGACTAGACATACTGTAGAACACCATTACCTTTCCACCAAGGTGGTTGGTTTCCGTAGTCATGTGGCCAGTGTGACCAGACATAGAACACCGTTACCTTTCCATCAAGGTGGTACCTATTTATCGACTCATGTTTACATGCTCTCGAACTGCTAGGTTGGTAGGAGGTGAGGCAAGCGACGGGAGCTCACGCCGTCGTGTGGATTTGATCTTACGACGGCTGGTCTTCTGACCTTGCAGCACAGAGGCTTCTGTGGTTTAACCCTCAGCACCACCACATCCCTTTAAGACATGTAGTTGCTGCTCTTTTTCCCAATACTGACCAGTAAATTGACTTCTGGAATTTCCTTCCCCACTAAGCTTTGGCACCCTGGGTGATGCTCCAGTTGCTCTGCCCCACTTATGAGCCTCTTAAGATACTACAAGAAACATCAGCCTGTTGCTGACTACAATGCTCTGTGTGTCCCTATCATTTAATTAAAAAATAAAATCATGATCTGTTTTTTGTCATGTCATGGAAGTAGAGATGCACAAAGGTGAGGACATCGGAAGAATACTCCTGAAGGATTACACACAAGAAGTCCAGCGGGATGCTAGCTTAAAATACCCCGATTCAACTGCAGCAAAGAATTTTCTTCCTGTAGCAACATTTCAAATGGTTAATCGTTAATCTCAAGATAACGACATCAGGGTCAAAGCTTGAAGTTTGCAACAAATGGGGAGAATCTGGAGTTCTCATTTCTCACAATGACTCAGTGAGTTTCAAAAGGGAAAGAGAGGAAACTCACACGGAGAAGTAGTTTAATGTGAAAGGAAAAGGTTGTTCCTGCTCTTCCCATGCGGAGAGAGATACTTGAATATTTGAAGGTGGGAGAGTTTGTGGGTTCATTAAGAACAGACCTTCTCTTTTAAATATGGACTGCAGCCCAATTAAATAAGTTATGGATCTATTAATCTTATCTGCTCAGCCAAGCAATCTAAAAAGTTTGCATATGAGTAACAACACTACATAGTATTCTGGCAGCGGGTTTCACCCACTGTGAACACAACACACTAGCTGCTGAAAAGCACCTTCCCACTTTTCTTTTTCTGAACATCCATTTAGCACCAAGCCCAAACTTTCAATAGAAACTGAAGCGATTGAACAGAGGCTGTCATGATACAGAAGCTATCATCAGGAGAAGACAAGGATTTCT